CAGACTTAACCTTAACTATTTGAAATTAAAGAAGTAAGAAAGTGTTCCTGATATTTTGATGCAGTGGTATCAGGCTATTAACTGCTCTCAGAAGTTAACGTCAAATTAAACTGTGTAAGGCCCCCGACACACCAAGCCGACGGTCAGCTGTCGGTCAATGTCTTACTGTCAGTTAGCATCTGCTGCCCTAGTTTTGTGGTGGTGTGTCGTCCACCGTTGGCACTTGTTAGCACTTGTCCAACACATTCTCACTCCAACGCTGTTACATATTGAAGTTTGATCATGGACTTTCCATGTCCAGATTTGACGTGCGAGGTACCACAGGCTCGTTGGTTGTTGATGTTCTGGGACACTTTGTCAAGTTCTGCCTGTTACATGCATTGTCTTCTTCCAAAAGCAGCCTCACCAATTTTCATGGAGACCCGGGGAATAGCCAGACGGCCTGTTCCAGATGACCTGAGGGGTCGACTTGGTTCATAGCTCACAAGCATGTCAGACACATATTGAGGTGCTAGCCCATGTAGGTCCTTAAAAATCAGAATTAAAATTTTAAAATCAATTCTAAAATTTACTGGGAGCCAGTGTAATGACCTCAACACAGGTGTTATGTGGTTGTATTTTCTTTTTCTCATTAAAACTCTTAGCAGCTGCATTCTGGAGTAGCTGCAGTCGATCAAGATGCTTTTTAGGTATTCCAGTCAGCAGTGCGTTACAGTAGTTTGGCTGACTGGAGATAAAAGCATGGACGAGTCTTTCAGCGTCATCCTGGGATAAAAAGCTCCTAAACTTATTGATATTTCTTAAATGATAAGAACCAGTTTTGACAATGCTGCTAATGTGGCTCTGGAAGGTGAGGTCAGAATCAATGATGACACCAAGGTTTCTGACCTGTGTAACATTTTCCAGAGCCAATTCTGACAATTTAAAAGATATTTCCTGTCTGTGTGCTTTTGCCCTGATAACCATGATTTCCATTTTATCATTGTTTAATTGTAGAAAATGACACGACATCCAGCTATTTATATCCTTGATACAGTTTGCAAGTGTGTCTATAGAGCTCAGGTTATCGGGGGAAAGGGAAATATACAGCTGTGTGTCATTAGCATAATTATGGTAGCAAACATTGTGTTTCCTGAATTTGACCCAGGGGCGACATGTACAGATTAAACAATGACGGACCTAAAACTGACCCCTGGGGGACACCACATGAGATTAAAACATTTTCGGAGCTAAAATTCCCAGGAGAAACACTAAAAAAGAAAAAGTCCCAAAAAAAAGCAACAAAAATGTGACAACTTGGGAAAGTGTTGAATTTTTTTTTGTTTGGGTGTTTTCATTATTTTTTAAATGTGACTAATGTCCGATTTTAGTGTGAACTGGTCATGGACCTGAACTGACCCCCATATGCAAAAGAACAATAACAAAGATGTCACAAGCAGAATGCTGTCATATGGAAGTGAACATGGAAGCTACTGAACTAAACACTTTAATTTATAAGTTGATGTGCAGTGGAAGTCAGTGAATTTGTGAGCAGATGATAATGAGGATGAACAGAAAGAGAGCAAAGTTTTAATGATGGCTTTTTGTGGAGCAGTGGCTGTTACTTCTGTGTGGAGGTGTGTGTGGATGTGGAGTCCGAACCAGAATGGGTGGGATTGTGATGTGAATGGCTTTACTGAAACAGATTTTATCCATAATTTTAGGATGTCAGGGGCTACTTTTGAATATACCTTTCAGCACCTCTCCATAAGACTCTCATGACAAGGCACTCAGTTCAGGTGACCCACCTTGTAAAAGTACCAGGAATTTGACTGTTCCGACTGAAGTCACATTGCAAAAGATCAGACCTGTATCTGATTTAAGACCACATTTGAAAGTGGCCGAAATCATTGAAAAGATCGGATTCCATGTGATTTGTACTGTTTCCAGTGTCCCTAGATTGAGGTTCGTAACTAAAGGTGACGGAGATGAGGCTGGCTGGAGCATTACATTTTAAATCATTGCCTAAAACATATTTTGATAGAAAATCTTTCCCTTTTAATGCCTGATTTGTACTTAATGATTTGTAACTTTTGTGTTTTATTTCCTTTTATTCTATTTTTGCCTCTGAGCACACAATTTTTCTCAGCTCTCAACTTTTTAAAAAAAAATATATATATATTGTATTGTTATTGTTGTCTTATTTTCATGCACTTTGTGAAGTACTTTATAACCTTGTTTAGATATGTGCTATACAAATAAAAATTCTATGATTATTATTCTTACACTGTTATGAAAAAGGAGATCTGAGTCACATATGAGCATAAAAAAATCAGATTTGGGCCTCTTCTGCCTGCAGTATGAACGTAGCCTTTGTGCGTGTGAAAAAAAAGTAAAATATTGTTCTTCATCTTCACAGCCAAGGTTCTGGATTCTATAAATTTATTACGAACAAATATCCACATGATCTGTTAACGATTTTGTTTTTTAATCTCTTCATTCACTGTAAAGACAAATTATTGTATGCACTGAAAACATGTGCTGCGGTGCAGGCACGCACATAACAAACCAAACACATTTACACACACACACACACACACACTTGCATGCACACACTAATGAGGATGGAAATCCCGTCGTCTCTCTGCTGTCATCCCCGTCTGTGCCCCTGCCACCAGCTGTCAAAAAAAGTAAAAAGTTTGAAGTTTTGTCTTTTATCCTTTTTCGATGCTGGACAGTGCCAGGCAGTCAAGCAATCAAACACAAAGTCACTTCTCACCATCAATCCAGTCCCTCTGTTCTCCTCCTCAGAGCACTCCACCATTATTTTCCTTCTTCTCTTCGTTTCAAGTGTCTTTGAGTCCTCGCCTGTGGATGACTGCAAGAAATTGAGTTTTCTCCTCTGTATATATGATGCACATACATACTATATGCTGAAGTACATTAATGCATCGCAGGAACAGAAGGTGAGCTGTCATTAGCTGCGCTCCATGTGAAAATGTCAAGCACCGGCTTGCAATCAGCACCTGGATGAGCTGGTGTTGAAGCTGATGGGGCAGAGATGTCTGTAATTACTACAGTATTTAAAACAGTCACGATGCAGTAACAACTGGTCCCAACACCTTGCTGCCCATCATTCAATTTAACCTGTTTAAAGGGGGAATTCACCCAAATGACAAAAAACAAACCGATTTCTCACTCACCTCCAGTGGTATTTAGGCCTACAGATAGTTTTGAATTAAAATGTGCAACTAATGTTCAGTTCAACAGCATCATTTCAGTCTAAAATCTGTGTCCCTGTTACTCTGGATGACCCACAAACCTCCACTGGACAGACTTAATTGGGACTCCTGAAGTAAAAGTACTGATGCAAACTGTTGACAGTGAAGTTTGTGGATAATCCAGAGAAGCAAGGACACTGATTCTGTAGAGAATTTTTAAAATCTCAAAATCCAAGCACATAAAACTGAAATTTTCAGATCATTTTACTTGCATATGTTTTGCCTGCAGCGCTCCATAATACAACATAATGGACACTAGGAAAGAAGCATGTATTTGCCCCTCTTGGTGAGCATGAGAAAATGGCTCAGTCTGGTGAAAAATAGTAAAAACGATAATTTTGAAGACGGGGCTGTAGACTGAAGGCCTGAAAGAAGAGATTACATGATTTTTTGCTGTAGCTGATGTGGGATCAAAAATTGTGGTTTTAATGGGTTTCAATGGGGACATTTTGGCTACACAGTTTATTATTCATGCATGATAGGAGCTGAGATTGAACTTCCAAAATCTGGAAAATTTAAAACCAACAAACAAAATACCATGGATTACATTTAAGTTGTAAAAAACCCCAATTTTTTTCTCTCCCATGCCTCCATAAAAAATTCCCGTTAGAGGTGCTCTGAGCCCGTCCCACTGGTAGGAGGCCCTGGGGCAGACCCAGAACACGCTGGAGGGATTACATATCTCGTGCCTGGGAACACCTCGGGCTCCTCCAGGAGGAGATGGAAAGTGTTGCTGGGGAGAGGGACGTCTGGGGTGCTTTGCTCGGCCTGCTGCCCTCATGACCTGGGTCCAAATAATCGGAGGATAATGGATGGATGGATGGGACTGCGTATCACAACAGCAAAATATCAAAACATCTGTTAACAAACTCTCACAGAACTCCTGCAGTATAATCCAAGTCTCATTCATCCATTCTTAAGCTCAGTGCGTCCCAAATTGAAATCTTGTAGCCTGGCGTTGAAGAGATCATGAATAAGCTTCACTTTCAGTTCAGTTTTAAATAATAAGGTTTCAGCAAAAATGCATGTGTTTTGGAAGTAATAAGCATACAACTGGATAAATGAGACTTAGATTATACTGCATGAGTTGTGTGAGGGTTTGTAATCGATGTTTTGATACAGTTTTGCTGTTAAACGTGGTTCCAGATCAGTCAGTATGTTTGACGTTGTCTGCGGAGGCATGCGAAAAAATCGTTTTTCTTCATCAATTCAAAGTAACACAACATGACTAATTAATTTACAACTGGTCATTTGTGGGTGAAACGTTTCGTTAACGCAGCCAAAACATTTCAACGATTAAAAATGAAAAATTAAGAAAATGTCCCTAGTGATGCACTTGCTGGCATTATTATAGCCCAGCCTCCACCTGCCTCAGGATGATGTGTAGATTTCCTCTTGAACAGCCCACAGGCCCTTTGTGAAAGAAAGAGCAGAGAGACACACATCAGCTCTGTGTCTCTCTATGAGATCGATCTCCTTCTTCCTTCTCTCCGTTGCTTTCAGCAGCAGGTCAGTGGGAAACAGAAAAGCAGCCCTGTGCGTCCACACAGTAGCATCTCTGTTGCAGTTTGGACTCTGACCCACATCAGCTGCTGTCTGCCCAGCTAATTGTGCGACACTGTGACACTCTGCCTTACTTCTTCCTGAGAAAAGACAAGCAGAGCCAGACACCTGCTCCCTTTGTGTCTTAATATAGTGCTCCACTGACCCCAGTGTTTGTGTTTGTGTTTTCCTCTGCAGTGGAGCGATGCATGAGTGTGATGCAGTCCGGGACACAGATGGTGAAGCTGAAGGCGGGATCCAAAGGACTGGTGAGACTTTTCTTCCTGGATGATCATCGCTCCTGCATTCGCTGGAAGCCCTCACGCAAAAGTGAAAAGGCAAAGAGTGAGTATGCATGGGCACACATGTATACACGGTGTGGAGTTTGAAAGATGTGGGTCAAACAAAAGATGCTATGAAGTTTCATCATGGGAAGTGCAGTATTTGTGGAGCCTGAGCTTTACTAGGGACTAAAAATCAGGATCTCTCAGTATTTGCTGCTTTGATTTTGACTGTTACTTGTTAAAACCCAACTTAATGAAGAGCACTTCTAAGTAACTGGAATATCTGCTACTTTAAACATCTAAAGAGGCAAGCATAATGAGCAATCAGCAACAAAACCCCTTAGACAAACGTTATTATGGGAGAAAAAACAAAGGTTAATGATCAAATTATTCATCAAATTGTTCATTGAGTGCATTTTTTACACTTTACAGAATCATAATAATGAACCTGAACTTATCAGTAAAATGTTCACCAACAAAATATTGCATTTGCTGGGGCTGACGTCCACCGTGGGCTGAGGCCATATGTGTCAGGTTGTCCAACATAAGGCCCGTTTCCACTGAAGAAGTTCCTGGTACTATTTGGGGGGCAGGAACTACTACAGGAACGTCCTCTCGCTCGGCTCTCTCAACCGCCGTGTCACCACTGAGAGAGCGGAGTAGGAGGAAGGTTCCTGTAAAGTTACGGACTCTGGATGTGATGTAATCATTGCGCGACCATTTTGACCGGGGCGACGTAGGGGCGTAGGAGCGTAGGGACGCTGTTAGCTGTTAGCTGTTAGCCCTTAGCGGTGTCTGTAATACTCAGTAACTCAATAAACGGTCCGTGAATTTTTTTTTTTTTTCCAGCGGATGTCTTAGTTACAACATGATTGAGCTAACTGGAGTAGTTTCATGTTGTATCTGACAACGGGAGGCTTTTAACAGATGACGTCCTGATGTTAGCTTTGCTGCTAGTGTTAGCTGTCCCTGTCAGCTGCAGCCACTGATGCTTTCTAGACATCGTGATTTCCCAAAACTGAATAAATACCACACATAGCAACACAAAACTGCTTTGCTAGCGCAATCATGTTGTAAGATAATGCCGGAAAAAATATTTTTTTCACAGACCATTTATTGAGTTACTGAAGCTATGAATGAGCTAACCCAACGTCTACTGAGTTTTAAAAAGGCCAGCTATTTTGCCGCTTTCTGTTGTCGTCACATCCCTCCTTGAGTATATCCATTCAGCACCAAGTAATCCCCAAGCCCCAGCCAGGAGTTTTTCGGGGCCGTTCTGAGTACCTACTCCGAGGCAGGGACTTGTTTAGCCCCTGTAAAAGTTCCGGAACTCTGTCCTTCGGGGGTGGTTCCTGCGGTGGAGACTCGCTCCAACAGCCCCGGCCCTGTAAAATTGCGGTGGAAACAGGCCTATACATCCCATTCTTGTGAATGTAATATCTCAAGAATGCTTTGAGAGAATTTCCTTTAATTTGGCACAAGTGTGGACTCAAGGATGAAGTGATTAGATTATGATGGTCAAAAGAAAAAAACACATTTTTGGCCATACCTCAAAAATTCACAAGCTTATTATGATAAAATTATGACATTTACCAACAATTGTACATACATACATATACACCACTGTTTTAATGAAATACAGAATGAAGAAAAGAAGGAAAAAAGTGATTTGATATGATTCCAATCCTGATTGAAATAGAAAATCTTTTTTAACAGCAGCAATCAGCCAATGGTCTGAAACAAAAACAAAGAGTAAAACATTTCAATATTGCAAATTATACTTGGCTTGAGGGTTAGTACTACTGTAATCTTTCTCACAGAGACAGCCAGCATAGTCAGTTTTGTTTGTGTTGAAAAAGACAAAAAAGAGCAGTAGTTTAAGCCATACTGACACACATACATTACATCCACAGTCATCTGGTCTATCTGAACAGTATATATATACCCACAAACACATGAGTAAGCATGAAATACAAGAAATGTAAATTAAAACATCATTAAAAAAGAAGAAAAGTAAAGAAAAAACATGAATGGAAAAAGAACTTAAGCAAGATAATCAACACGTGATCTGATTGTCAAAATTATTCTTTATCATAAATCCCACTTACCCACATATATAAACAACAAGCATACAAACAAACACACATAAAACCCAGAGATCCTGAAGGTAGTGCTATTTAAAAAAACAGGAAACAGACAGGGTTGGTAGAAAGTCTTCGTTAGAAGTCCCCCCGGGTGGAAAATGAGTGGTTGCCATATTAAAGTTAATCTGTGTGCCTGATCCATCCTAAGGTATCTAATCCTCTCCATCTCCAGCGCGCTAACAAGGTCGGCTAGCCACAGTTTAACGTTAGGCATGTCTTAATCCTCCCATAGCATTAATAACCATTTCTTGAGACAGAAATTAAGACAGTGTTGATGAGATGATGAGAGACCACTCATGCTCCCAGAAATGTTAGATATAATAGTTAGATGGTCTTCACTTGGCATGCCAGGATTTTAGAAAAACTACAATGAATATTGATCCAGTAATTCTCAATCTTCATTGTATAAAGCTGTGAGCAAGGGTCACATTTCTCACATAATGGGGACACTGAGGGAAATAATCTGTGCCGCTCCACCTTTGAGTAATGTAGTGTGTGTGCGACCTTGCATGAGGTTATGTTTAGCATTTAAAGAACATCTATGTATCTGTGTCTGACTACTATTCTGTTGTGCTTCAGTGACAAGAATGCTAAGATCTTTTTCCCAAAGTGCACATATGTTAGAAGTGTCTACTTTGCCTTGTCGTATATTAATGTAAAGGTTTGATATAAAGTGAGGCAAATAGGGGGACGTCTGACAATTTCCCTAATTGTGGAGTGAATCATTATCATACAAGTGTCTGAATATAATCCCTTAAATGTAAAAAAAGAAATCTTTTTTGTAATGTAAACATGTTTATTAACATTTAACCAAAACTACATTTTCTTATCGTTAACTTAAAGGCATACTACGCTAATATGCTAAATGCATTCTCTTATCACTTACTGTTTATAAGGTGGCCCCTTATCTCCTGCTCCACCAGAGGCATACATACACTGCAAGCTATTATGTTGGATTATTGCATTTGTTATAACAGAAGAGTCGATACTTTAGCAAGCTAACTAAGCTAACTGTCTGCACCTACCTGTCAAAAACAAACAAACAAAAACAGGCCAACTCTGCATCACTCTTCATCCTCTCCTTCAGTGCTCGCTTGCCAGTGAAAGTGAAAGCCAAACCCAGATTCACTCTGTTTCTTGAGCGAGCTTTGTCTTCTTGGCGTTTCGCCTCGTTATACTTGTGCTTTTTTTGTTCTGTGTCTGTGATTTTTGTGGCTTCGTCTTGAATGCATGCTGCTTACGGTCTGATGCCTACCTTTAATGTTTTTTTTCCAAAGCCCTCACCTGCTCACTGTTATTGGCCAGGGGCTACATATCCGTAAAATCCCAAACACAGTGAAAAAAGAATAAAATACAGGCAGAGGGCAGAGTCTCTGCAGATAAATACACCGCCACACATCCAGTGGGTCATCGAGAGGGATTACTTTTGTATGAGTCTACATTGTTTTTAGGAAAATCCCACCCCACAGACAGGAGTCAGGATGTGAAATCCTGTGCTTTGTATGGCCGATTGTCTGCCCCTTTGTTGCCTTGTTGGACTTTTCTTTTTTCTTTTTTTTTTTTTTTTTCGTAAATTGGAATAATTCTTTAAACTTACATAATGATAGTAGTAATACTACCACACTATTTTTGTAGCAGGTGTTACAAAGTGTTCAGCAGATTGTCTCTGTCTCTTCCCTCATTTCCCCCCCAGAATGTCTGTTGAATCAGCCACACTGCTCCGGCTCTGAGGGGATTATCATCATATATTTCATGGCCCCCTCACAGCATCACTGTCACTTTTTCTTTTGCATTACTGGCTTTATATTACAACCTACATCTGTCCATGGACCTGTCCTTACATGTAAATGACAATGTGCGTGTGTAGGCTGTCAGCGTTAGATAAGCCTCTCCACTGACGTGATAAGGAGAAACAAACAGCAGCTGACAAGGTCTGTCTTTGAGTTGGTGTGTGTGTGTGTGTGTGTGTGTGTGTGTGTGTGTGTGTGTGTGTGTGTGTGTGTGTGTGCTATCTGTCTGAGCGGGATCAAAATCAGGCTGCCATATTGTTACTTTCAGTCATCGGAGAATTTCAGAGATGAGATTATGTAACGGGATGAGAGTGTAATGGGGAAATGGACATGGATAATTTTGGAAGGGATTATGACAGCAGTATTTTGGGCTGGGTAAGAAGGCAATTATTGGAACAGAATCATTAAATCATTGATTCTTTAATCAAGTTATCAAACATAATGGTGTTTCCCAAAACATTAAGGTTCATTATTCTGGGGAAAACACAACAGTGCAAAGATAAGGGTCATTAGTGAGTTGATTTAATTGAATGAGACACCTTTAACAGCATGTTGAAGGTTCACCCCTGAGAGAGAGTCTGTGAGGAGAAAACAAGCGCGGTGAAGAGATGGATGTGAAAATGTGTAAAACAGGACATAGTTTACTGCTGGCTGTTTCTCTCCTAACAAAGACACGGAATCAAAAATAGCTGAGTTTCTACTCCAATCTCATTAGACCATGATACTCTCTGAAGCCTACAGGAACTGCTTTCTCTGAGAAAAGCAGAGCAAGTGAGAACGCACTTAATTTTGGTCATGGTTATTTTTCAAAAAGTTTTCGCTGTTATTCCATTTTAAACTTGTCTAATTACTCTGCCTGCTACGTTTGCCTGGGTCCAGACCTTTGAATCTGTCCTCTGTCAGATATCAGGCGACCTGCTCCATCCCTGTCATTATAATGTATTGGGAATTGTCAAGGAGTTGGTCACAGTAATACAGACCAAGTAGTGCTCCAGGGAAGCTGTTTTTCTGTAGGCCGACGTGGGAGTTAGCTTTGTCCTGGTTCCCTCGTCAAAAAACCCTATGAGATTTTTCCACTGGATTTTGGATTATTGCCATAAATAAGCTCTGTGGCAAACAAATTATACTTACACGTTTTGTTCAGAAAGATAATCTTCACAAATGAACACAACTTTTATGATTTTTTTTAAGTAAGGAGTAAAAAGATGATGTTAGGCTATAAATGAACTACACTACGGTCGCATGATGTAACATTGCTACTAGGGGTGGGAATCGGCAGAGGACCCATGATATGATATTGTCACGATACCTAGGTCACGATCCAATATTATTGCGATACGCCGAGTATTGAGATACAATATATTGCTATATTTTGCGATTTGTTATCTTTTTTTCCAACTGCAAATTATTTCCCGAAAGGAAAACTTCGTCAACATCAGTTTTGACCCATAAGATAAAGTTCATTATTTTTATTGCAGCAAAATGTGATACAAAGCAGAAATACTGACCTGTCATTAATGCTGCATACACCTGACAAACTGAACTGTTAGCAGATTTAACACCCTCTGCAATGCCAGATTAAGCGTTTGAGTGAATCACTTTACATTCAGGTATCCCGCTAGGTGAATGGCATCACCCACGTTAGAAGGGATGCTGGTTACAACCACAATCTCCAATTCTTGTGCTGCATTTTGCAGAAGGTCTGCAATGTTTGCTCTGGTGTGACTTCCGTGTACTGCTCTAGTTTGGAGAACTTGAGACAGACTTTGCTAGTTCTGTGTGAGATAATGTGCCGTTATAGTCACATGTGAATCCACTGACCTTGAAGTCGAGTCGTCACAAGTTAAAGCCACCCGTCCTGCTGTACTTAAAGATTCTTCAACTTTATGCTTCACTTCCCTGTAGAGCTTGGGTACGGCTGTGTCAGTGATAAAACGTTGGGACGGAGTCACATACTGACGAAGTGTTTTTAGCATGTAACAAAAGCCTTCGTTTCAACAGCGCTGTATGGACACGGCTCTTTGCACATGAAGTAGGCTATGGACTGTGTTATTTCTGTAGCTCTCTCAGAGTTGTGTCCAGTATTGGTTGATTTTTTTGGCTGAGTGGGTTTAGCGTTAGCTTGGCCGTCAGTGGCTAACGCTATCTCTGGATGGTGGAGTGTGAGGTGAGCCCTCATGTTCGCAGTATTCCCATTTTATTTTCATTTTACACTGCTTGCAAACCCCATGTGTCATATCCAAGTCCCTCTGTCCTGTGTTAAAAAAAAAATATCCAAAATTACTTCCTGCCAAATGCCGCTGACTGAGACCTCTGCTGACCTCACAAGGAAATAAAACATCAGCACCATCTAGTGGACCGAAAAAGCAATTGATTTTGTTATGCTAGTACCAAAAGATGTGTTAAAATGTGTATTTGCAAAAATTGATAATGTATATAATAGGTTGACACTTGGAGTCTGTGTATCGATGCAATAGCGCCACGCAAAATAACGCAATACTATGCTGTATTGATTTTTCCCCCACCCGTAATCGCTATCACAACAATCATGTAAAGCCATGGTTGCCATGATGATGTTCTCTCATTTAGCCACTTCTTAACAACCGCCTTTTTGAAGACACAGAAAAGCTTCAAAACTCAGGAGTGGGGTATCTACTGAAATATTTTATGTCATAGACCAAAATGTGACAGTGTCCTAAGCTTGTGTTAACCACAGACCTTATTTCAGGCATCTAACCACAACCCATTCAAAAAACCTTTGACTTCGAGATGAGGGAACCAGGAATGCAATTCATTTCCAGATTTTAAGACTCATTCCTGGGGCACTATCACAGTGTTTTTTAAGAATAAATTAAGGGTAGAAAACCACCGCATCACGTGCATAAAATGAAATGACGCTGAGCGAATGCTTCATCAGTTGATTCGTTTTAAGCCCCTTTAAAGAAATCAATATCAGTTTAAGTGTATGCTATATTTATGATATTTTCCACATTTTACCTTGCCATCAGAAACTCTTTCTGACAGGAAATTCAAGCTGTTATCTCAAAGCCACCAGACTCCATTGACAAAAAGACTAATTTTACATCACAGAATACAGTTCCTGGTCCACTGTTTTCTTGATTGGTTAGTGTGTCAGGTAAAGCTGGAAAAATATTGCAAATATAGACACTTACACTGATGTTTTTCTTTGGTGGCTAATATACAGTTTGCTGCAGTTCCCGTCCACAGCAGCACATTGCGCAGCGTCTGTGCTGGTAGATTTGGTTTATCAGAGACACTAACAAGTATATAAAGTAAGCACAGCAGATGTGTCAAACGGGTCAGACCATCATGTCTAACTATATGAATATATACATTTGATTGATGAAAATTGTAACAATATTATAAAAGCCTAATCTTTTTTAATAGCCTAAATATTTAACTTTAAAAATCTAATGGTATATGCATATATAAAACCCTAAACCTGATTTAGAATGTTATTGAAAGACATCTAATTGAACACAATGTACTGGCCAGTGCTGGGAAGGCCCGTGATATAGCAACACAACTTCTTAGATGCTATAACTACACTGTCCATTCATATTTGCGAGTTTAACTGACATAAAACAGACATATGAAGCCATGGTTTGACAAAACATTAACTTCCTGTCAGCATCTAAACATCACATTAAACAGTAGGCTACAAAAATAGGCTACAAAAAAAGTGCAGAAACAATATTTCATCAACCAATAAAGCTGCTCCTGTTTGTTGGCATTCTGGAAGAGCAAACAAAGAGGAAAATCAATCATACTGTGCTCACAGATCTAGGCACTTAGAATTTAACAAGTGTCACAAATGAGCCAGGGTCGCACCCATGCTGTGGCGTTCCTTACAGACCGGAAAAAGACTTCATGATGTGAAAGCTATGATAACTGCCAAAGAACAGATACATGCAGACACCACAATATACAAACACAACTTTATATCCAGGAAATACGTCTTAACTTTTACTTTGTTTTTGCTGAAATGGTTTTCCAGCTGCCGTTCCCTGCAGAGTGGACAAATCCTGATGATATTTCTCATGGATGTTAAGCACTACACCGGCCACATGCCAACGTGGTAAAGCCATGATGGCATTTACATAGTGAGACTGTATTGTGTTACATTTAAGGTGACTCTTTCCTGCTCTAGTGAGAATTTAGCAGCTGGATGGTGGTGATGTGGTTTTGAGTCAAAATAAACTACAATTTATGAATGTCTTTTTTATACATTTTTGGACAACAATAGAATATTTACAGCCTTATAACTAAGTTGTATTCCAATGTTTATTAAGTTTATTTATTTAATAAATAAATAAACTTAATAAACATTGAATTTCCCCTCAGGGGATTAATAAAGTAAATAAACTTAAACTTAAACTAGACAGAAATCATTAATGAGTCTTTTTTCTAATAATCAAAGTGGTCTTTTCTTGTCCTCAGTCACCATTGATTCGCTGTACAAAGTGACAGAGGGCATTCAATCGGACATCTTCCATCGGCATGCAGACGGCACCTTCGACCCAGCCTGCTGTTTCACAGTGTACCATGGAAACCACATGGAGTCCCTCGACTTGGTGACATCAAATGCGGAAGAAGCCAGAACCTGGATAACTGGCCTCCGCTATCTCATGGCTGGGATCAGTGACGAGGACTCGCTGGCCAAACGGCAGCGTACACATGACCAATATCCTTTGAACAAAGGTTAATTTTTTTGGTTTCATGTCCGTTCTTTTGAGGGATTTTTTTCTCAGCTCACATGGAAGCTTTTTCTGTGATACACTTTCGCTCACTCAGACACACTCTCAAAACAAATATGTGGCACTACTCGAGGCCAAGTGACATATTAGTATTATATTTGTTTCCATCTACCTGTAGCCCAGTATTCTTGCTCTGGGTTTTCATTTGTTTAGAGTCTGAGGTGTTAGTGCACACTCAGCAGCTCAAAGGCGATCACTGGCACTAGAAATGATATGATACTGAGTTGAAATGCTTGAAATCATGCAGACAGATTTTATTATAATGCTGCATTTTCCTTAATATGTGTTTGTGTGACGTGGCTGAAACAGACATTCGAGGAGGCCGATAAGAATGGAGACGGTCTCCTGAACATCGAAGAGATCTACCAGCTTCTCCACAAGCTGAATGTCAATCTGCCGCGCAGGAAGGTCAAACAAATGTTTCAGGTCAGAATATGAACCCATTTTAAATCATTTAATGCTAAGTCCTTTTCAAAACAGCAAAGAGGCAAACTCCTTGGCTGAAAAATGATGCCAACGTGGAAGTGCCAAAAACTGCAGTTCCTTATACGGCCACCTGAGGCTGGCTCCAAAAGTGAGTCAATCTCCATAGACCTCCATGTTAAAATACCCAACTTTACAGCAGAAATAAACATGTTTACAGCCTGGTACAAACAGTTTGGGGCTTTAGAGCTAATTTCACCGTTCATGACAACTGTCTCTAAAAAAAAAAAAAATTGTCAAAAAAAAAGTAAAATCTAAAATGGCAACTGCTAAAATTCCAAACTCAAGGCTTCAAAATCCACAAACCAGTGGGTGACGTCACAGTGGCTACATCCATTATCTTCATTCCATCTCTGGAAACAGTCCCTACAATCATAAGTAGACGGTGTGGGATGCTAATTGAAAGCATACATCAAAACAGAACAACAACCATAGAGACATTCACTATTTCACCTCACATATGCAGTAAATTACTCGTTCATTCTTTTTTAAGGCATTAGCAGTGAATAGAAATTCATTACCAAAACATTTGCGTCCATATTAAGCCGTCTTATTAACAAGAATGAGGTTTGCTTTCATTCCAACACATTAAATGCCTTGTGTATAAATATTTTAGCGGACTGACGTCACATTACTGCGGCATTTCTTATTTTTATGTGCATCTGTGTGATTCAAATAAATGTGCGAGAAATATTTCATATGTTTGTAGGGGAGCGAGACACTTTTAGAGGGAAAAGATGAAGACTTGTGTGGAGAGAGCTGCTTCAATTTTTAAAACAGAAGTCACATTCAGTAATGTCAGAAATCCACATGCAGTGTCTACTGGCTTTTCTAACACGGATGCAGCAACATCTTTTCACTTTCTTCTTTTATCTATTGACCATAAGACAAATTGACTTGATTGAATGGTTAGATGATGAGATTAGAGAGCATTTATTTTGATCTTTTAATTTGCACCTGAGCGAGTTGGCCATTTTTGAGGAAGAGAGAGGCAACTTTTGGTTATCCTTCACAACTTACCACCTTCAAAAGCGTGTGTTCAATATGCTGGCGCAGGAGTGAAGACTCAAATCCAGACTCACGAGGCGGAGGTTTAGGGGCTAAACAGATCAAAAATACAGTCAATACCTGCATGAAGTCAGATAGGCACCCAGCACTCACTCAAGGGATCAAGGAATGCAAGGCAGGCAGAGCAAAAGCAGGCCTGCAAAGTCTAGCCAACAAGGCAATAAAGACAGTCTGGGGAAAAGAGAAAATGCTAGCTGGGAAGTGCGCTGGCTTTGACAGCTAATGGGGAGCAGAGAGGTCAATGGCTGGGTGATACGTATGGGGGGGCAGGTGAGGAGACGCAGTGTCTGAAACAGGAGAGGTTCTTCTCATATTACAACGACTGTGTTTAGGTGCACAAAATATTGTAGTTTTTGCCTAATTCCAAAATAGACAATATTCCTACTAGGGCTGGGAAATCTATTGATATTATATTAATATTGTAAAATGAGACTAGACTATCTGTCTTAGATTCTAGATATGGTAATATCCTAGCTGTTGTTTTTTTCCTGGTTTTAAGGCTGTATTACAGTAAAGTAGGGCTGCCCCAAACTAAGAATTTTCTTAGTTGATCAACTGTCGTGATTTAGGGCATGTTTACGATATTAATTTAATTTTTAAATGATATATTTTGGGCGGGGCAACACAATGGTTTGAGTTGAAGGTGTGAGAAAGAATAGTATCAGTAACATTGTTAACACTGTGCTACATTACAGAGAAATACAAAACCGTACTAATGAACCTTCATTAATATAGGCCTATATTTTATCTACAAGTGCACGTCACACACTGAGCGAGCCGCCTGTTAATGACGCTGTCGGCAAAGCGGTAATGATTGTGCTAAGTGGCTAATGGGCATGTAGCTACTAACATGTTTCAGATGATACGTCATGTTTGTAGTCGACCAATGAAGATGAGTTTACATATCACCTTGGGTTCGTCCTTCACCTTCTCAAAATGAT